CAGAGCTCTAGCGGTTTTCAGTTTTGGCCAGGTTTGTTCTCCAATTTCGGTGTTCATTATTTAAAGCTAGTTGGAGCTACTTGGTCAGATTTGGTGCTGGTTCTGTTGGTGCTTTCGCTGGTCGTCCAAGGCAAGCTCAGTTTCCAGCTTCTTATCTTTCTCCTGTTCATGTTTTGGTTGCTCCCTTGGCTTCTCTTGTTTGGCCGGTTTTCATGATTCTCTTGGTTCTATCTTGTGTTTGCTCGTGTAGGAAGAGCGGGATGTCCCAATCTATGATGCCATTCGGATGAAGTTGCCTTGACACCGGAGAAAGCAAATAATGGAGAATTTAGGGGCCATTCATACACACCATCCTTAGTTGGACCCTTCAAAAGTGTTGTTCCCGTGCGAAGTTCCTTCACTAAAAATGCAGAAGGTAAGAATTCAATAGATACATTGTTTGAAGCACAAAATTGTGAGATAGATATCAAGTTTTTTTTCATGCTAGGTTAACACGAAACATTATCTAATGAAAATTGAGAAGTAGGAGTTTTGAGTGATGTGAAACCAGTATGATTAATGGGAGAGTCGTGCCATCTTCAATCATAATGTCATTAGAACCTGTGTAAGGAGAGTGAAGAGATAAGTTGCTCAAGTCGGAAGTTACGTGGTAGGAAGCACCAGTGTCCAGAAGCCAAGCTGGATTGTTGGGAAGTGTTGGCAGCAAAGTGTGCTTTTGGTTGCCATGTTGAAAACGAAGTCCCTGCTTTATTTCTGTTGTTGGTTTGTTGAACTGGGACTAAGCGAAATGAAGGACATCGTTTAGCACCATATCCCTGAATTCCACATATCTGACAATAACCAAGATAAGGTCGTGAAGGAGGCCTAGTACCAAGTTTTTTTTCAACTGTGTTTGGTATGAAGGGCCAAGCATCTAAAGCCAGCGATGGGCGCCTACCCATGTTGAGGGAGCTGTGATTAAAAATGCTCTAATACCATGATAGAATTTTTGACATACAAAATACTGCACTGATGTTTATTGATAGAATTGAGTATTTCTAGATTACAAGGTATTGAATGGATTAGCATACCGAACCTATCTAGATAACAACAAAACTAACCTATACAAATCCAAATACAAGATTACACTAATCTACACAAATTTAAATACAAGATAAATAGAGTACAGAGAGTATATATAGGATTTCTTCGGTTATTCATCGTACTGAAGTCGGCCTTGTTTGAGCTCCATTATTTCCTCATTAAAATGAAAAATATGATCGTTATCCAACACATCCATATTTAACTTTTTATCTCTTGTGTGGGGTTCATAATGACTATATTTTTCATTCTCATTTTTACAATAATGGGCTCAAACAGGGGAGAATTCTCTAACATTAGACAGGTTTCTTTATTAGGCTAGCAGGAATAAAGGCCTAAATCCCTTGTATCAGTTCCGGCATAAGAATGAAACAAAGACCACCATTGCCAAACCTAAGTTAGGTCTGGCCATTGCTCTCAAGTCTCGATTCTATTGAGCTTCATTCGATAATTTTACTTTAATACAATTTTTATAGCCCAAGTGGTTTAAATTTTGGACCCTGGACATAGTAGATGGGGGTATTTTTTTATTTTCATTTTTTTGTACTATTTTATTCATATGGAATTTATCCTCATGTGAGTGTTCTATATTACGTCTATGAAACCATTTCTATACAAATGAAAAAATCATTAAATTTTCAAGACACCCTGAGATCCAGGATAGTCAGGTTATAAATTCTTTGATCACATTACATGACAACTACTTCAAAGAATTATAATATAATAAGGTTATAAATTTATTGTAGCATTTCCATTTATGGCAAATGGTCTAGGATCTTCGAGGTCCCACCCCAAAGTCGACACTTGTACCTTAAGTCCCCTCCACAGTTCCTCAACTTCCTCATCGCTCTTCCTAGTTGGGGTAGCAGTATTCCCATATTTGGCTTTGGGTTGTAACCGATCCATTTCTTCAATCAATGTGATCCAATGTTCTTTCGTTTATCATAAACTTGTCGACTAATTGGACAATCAAAACTAGTAATTGAAGCCATTACTTGATGGGGTTTAGCTATATATAAATGGCTTTGGTCCATAAGCTCCATCACAGAAAATACAAAGTATACACCGTCATTATAAAAGTGTTGAGAGTTTAGAAGTACCATTTCTAGAACAAAATGAGGGTTTCTTGAACAACATCAATGGCCGAAGGTATTAACTCGATCCATGAGTTTTCTTTTTTTCAATCCAAGATTTGGTGTTAGAGCGCCATAACCTCTCCTTGGTATTTTACAAGAAATTTACAAATTTTGATTTTGTCTGAATTTTTTTTTATGTCAAACATCATATTTCTCCATAAACTCGATTTTTCAGCATCTATGTGGTTTTAAACTTGAGTTTTAAAAAAAGAGAAGATTGAATTTGAGTAGGTCAGAATCGGGTCGTTTTCAACTCGACTGGAGGTTGAAGATGATCTCTGTTCCAGTCATTTCTCTCTACAGAGACCAATTGAAAATAATGGATTCTATAATGGGTCATTTGAAAAATCAGAAGTAATTTTAATTAGATCATTTTTATTGGGCCTGTTATTTATCATTATTCTTGTTTGGGGAAATTATGCCAAGTACATTTTTTAAATAAGTATTCAGATTATACTTTTCAACCTTTTTTTAATTTTTTTAACCATAATTACTTTTTTTATAGTAAAATACAAATGTTAAAAGTTTTCAAAATAAGTCTACTGCCAATTATGATGCTAATTTTAATCCAACAATCACGCCTTTAAAATATGACCCCAACAAACACACCCTTAATTTATGATAGCAACAACAAACATGCTATTATCTTTGACCAAAAAAAAATAATATATACTGCAAAACCCCCAAATCAAAACCTCCCCCAAAATCGTCTCTTTCTTCATCCATACTCAAGAAATTCATAATCCACAAACACCATATTGATCCTCCACAGATCCTCACTCACGCAATCACCACAATATTGCACAAATCAACCATTTGATTTTGTATTTTCTGTTGTTATTACCAACATTCAAGCTACTATAAAACCCTAGAAATGCATTGTTAAAATATCTAAGTCTGATTGTTGAGATGTAAATCGTGGCTGCTAATACAAGTACATCTCCATTGGGGTTAGTATGGTTAGTGAGAAAATGTCAAAGAGACTCCGATTGCGACAGTCTAGAAACGACATTTCTCCATGGGCAACATTAAGACTCGACAAGTAAGCGGTTCCTCCAAGTGATGTGAGATTATCGAACCCAAGAACGACATGGTTAACACCCCTACTTGTTGCATCACATGTTCTATTTACATATCCTTACAGTTGAAAGTTTTTGCCAGCTATTCATCTGCTACAAAGGTCGTAAACACGAACTCCCAAAGTTTGGAGATGATTAACCAACAAAGGACAAGGGTAAGAGACACGTTGAAGATGCCACTACAGATCCAGGCAACAAAAAGAAAAAGTTTGGAGCCTTACGCAAACCACATGTAATTTTTTCGATGTCTTGACAAATATGTGGACTCTTATATCAGTTTTGCTAGAAAATATTTATGACTCCGGATTTATACAATTCTTCATTTATGTCAATTTATAGAGTGGTGTATGAGTTGGAAGTTGAATTCTTGATTTCGAGTGTAACTGAAAACCAGAATACGTTTATGATTGATGCATAGAGTATGGTCATTTATTCAACATACAGTCGTGCTTATACAATTTTTTATTTCAAATGAATAGGCAGAATGGTGTATGTGTTGAAATCTGAATTTTTGATTTCATGTGTAATTGGAAATCCAAGTATGGTTATGATTGATGCATAGGATATGGTCAATTATTTGCACATACATTCTTACTTATTCTGTTCATTAGATGAATGAAATTCATCAGATGCACATGAATATAGAACGTGTAATGCAAAATATCTTATCTGAAACATGTGATTCATAATGTTTTTAATTTTGACTTTTTATTAAAAGGATGATAATAACATCACGTTGTCTGTAATATCCATTCTCTAACAGGAATTTTATTAATTTGCCTTGGGCATGATTGCAGATTGTTTGTGATAAAGTTCATCAAATAGGTAATAAACTGTGAGAAGGATGGAATGGGGCCAAAGCTTCGATTCAAAGAAATTCAGAGCTAACCTGGTGATCAACTTTACAAACATGACTGCGAGAAGATTATTGAAGCATATGATAGAATTTCGATCTTGGACCGTATACCATTAGGCGTGACAAGAAGGAAGATGAAGGGATTTATGATTTGATTATTTATGTAATTACTCTAGGTTTTTGAACTTCATCTACACTTTATATGAGCAACTGTAAGGTGGTTTCAAGCTGCTACATCTCGCTCTTCATTGCAATGCCTTTTTGCTATGTTCAGACATTGTATTTTGAATTGTGTCTTTCTTTGAAATGGTATTATCATGCTTTTGTGTTGATAATATCATTTTGTGTTGTTGGTTTTTTTTTACGATTCTATTATTGTAATTAGTCGACACCCATATTTTATTGTCTTTTTTACATTCACTTTTAACTTTCACATAGGTGATGTAAGTTTTTGTGCCGAATGTGCTTCGATTATTGTACATATTGTTACTTTTAGTTTGTTCATCAAGCATGGCCAAAGAATTATTAGTGTTGTGAAGATTTTTAGGATTGTATGCGATCACATAGGTATAACCTATGTGAAAAAAAATTTGGTGTTTTACCTTCGGGTCGCATAGGAGCCCCATTTTTTCACAAGTCGATTTTATTCCTTGAACTTCATTTTCCACATTCTTGACCTCGTTTCTTCCTTCTTTTTATTCTCTCCATCAATGTTAACCTCCAATTTGTACTTGGCTCGATCGAATCTTTGATTGCTCCTTTAGTTTGCATGTTGGTCCCTGAACTTTCATTTTGAATCGTTTTGGTCCTTTTTGCTTTTTTTTCTTGTGAATTCCACCATGTCTATCACTATACCCTACAATCCAAGAATTAAACGAATTTAAGCCACAATTAAAACACTTTTCTCATGATTTAATCATGTTTGTGCATTAAATAAGTGCACTAAAACGCACTTATCGATGGGATGTAAAGGGAGAAATAGGGAACTGATGTGTGCATGATATGAGAAGTCATAGAACACATCTATATCGCAGGACACAAAACACTAGCGTTGTCCAAAAAAGCATTCAATCACAGTGCTAATGGAAGCACCTACCTCCCTTATACACATCATCCTACTAACAAACTTTCTAAAGTGATGTTAAGTATCTATATCGATCTCACCTCTTTTTGTTTTCTTTTAACATGAAATTGCCATTTCATTCTTTATTCTCTCTCTTTTTTTTTTTTCTCTTTTTTTTTTTTTTTTTTTTTTTTTTTTTTTCTTGTGTTTATTTAAAAACTCTAGATGTGTAAATGTAAAAGACGAATACAAGGCAAAACAGAAAGGAAGTCTTACCTCAGCAGTTTTCTTTCCATTAATTGACAGAGACGAGATATAGTCAAACAAAGGCTCTTGGCATTCATTAAGATTGCAAGGGAGAGAAGGCCAATAGTTCATCTGAAGATTGATATTTAAGTGTTGAGCACCACTGCCGAAGGGAGAAAACAGAAGGTCAAATTTAAGGGCATCAAAGAAAATTTCAACAAACATGGGTAAAGAATAAAAAAGAGAGAAAATTGCAATATATTTTAAAGAAGGACTGAAGAAAAACATACTCCCATGCTGGCTCTATGTCCTTGTTCCAGATCCCCTGCAGGTTTGCCACCTGAGTCCCAGGACGTGAACAAGAAATTAGCAGATATCGACCATACTGGAATAGAAGCTCAACCAAAGAGGGATCTTCATTGATTTTAAAAGACTTGACTCTTTGAGCGGTGGAAATGGTCTCATCTGTGTTTTCTCTTAAAGGATTTACCGTCACATTCTTGGAGCTCTTCGAAAGCTGCAGTGAGACGCGATGGAAAAGTGCTTGGTAGTCATCAATGTGACGTGCATAAAGATCACCATATGAAAATCTTTTAACTGAATCCATTTTACTTATTGAAGAAGATTTAGGATCCTTTTTTGAATCCACAGGTTTGGTAAAAGGCCCATCAAACGATGATGATGCAACTAGAAGGATAATGGCCGAGTTGCAACCCTCGACTCGAAGCTTTCGGCCATCAAGAACACGCACTCCACCTGCACCATCACTGATCTGCAAATCCAAAACAGCTGAATATTGAATTCCTTGAGGATTGCTGCTTTCATTAACGTAACATTAGTTCTTGTTTAAATTAGAGAGAGGATATTAATACATGTAATTAATTTTACAAAGAAGATAACCAGCAATCAAAACGGATCTCGCACCTTGAAAAAATTTCTGAATCAAATCTCACACGGTTGCGGATTATCTATTATCATAATTGAAATGATAGCAGTAACATAGCAAGAAATATCATTTCGAATTCAAATTTCCATATGTTCAGCATGTTGATTTAATGCATCCCTTCTGCTGCATTTGAAGGTTGCAGTTACAATCACAAAAATGGGAAAGTTTCGTGTACAGTAATTTTGGTCTTATAATGAGATTAGGTAGTAATTGTGGTTTAAAAACTATTTAGTAGTATAAAATGAATTACTTTGTATTATTATGGCATATATGAATTTTTAGGCCCACTACTCTAAAAACAAAACAAATTAGATAGTACCCTAAAACAAAATAAAATCTCACAGAATCGTATTTAATACATTAATAAAATCCCCAATTCATCAAACTTCACAACAATTTCTCCACCGTCTCTGACTCCTCCTACTCCTCCTATAACTTTTCTTTTGTGTCATTGCTTTAGACCATAAGCCTCATTCTCATTCTTAATCTTTCCTTACACCGATATCGTTCATTCTTGATATTAAACTTTTCTTCTATCTCCGTTGCACCAAACAATAGCTAAGAATGTTAAGGAAGCAATTGCATGTACTAAGCCCTAATACTTGGTATCTGGTCTGCTGATAATGTTGAGTTATCGTGAATCCTAAAGACGAAATTAAAGGTAATACGATAGATAGCAGTTGCTATATTTCTTTATTTCATAGGCATGCTCTCCATTTGAAATTTGTGTTTTGTCTATGTTTCTTGTCATTTATTTGATCACTTCTGTGTTCGTAGGTTCTACCATAACTTGCCCAAATTGGAAAGGAGTGTGTTGATCTTTGGTCTACGATTGCCAGTGCTACTAATACCATTATTTAGAGGAAATTTGGAGTGATAGGGATATTTTTTAGTTTTATTTATTTATTTATTTTATTATTATTATTTATTATTTATTATTTATTATTATTATTATTTTTTTTTGAGTTCTATTGAATACTTGAAGTCTCCAAAGCCTGATGTTAGAAATTTATATGACACTTAGGCTAAACAAGTTCCTATTTTTGTAGGAAGTTAGATTCTTTACTGATTTTCTGATTTCTATAGATGTTTTTTTAGTTCTATTAATATGGATTACTGCCTATATGATTGTAAGCAAAGGTGTACCGTTTATGTGTTTACTGTAGATAAGTCGGCTCTTGGACAATCCCAGTTGACTCTCCATAGTGGTACCTGCAATTCATTTGGGAAGACATTTTTTTTTGTTACTTTTTTGAGTATTTTTAACTTTTTAAAATTTAAGTCACTTTTTTAGTATTTATCATTTATTTTTAATTTTTGTCACTTATTTAGTATTTATCAAAATTTTTATTATTTTTTTGTCATTTTCTTGAAATTTCTGCCACTTTTTTTTTTAACAAATATTACTTTCTTTTTTAAATAAAAATGACATCATATATTACTTTTTAATCAAAAAGTGATACTTAACTTAAAAAAGAGACATTGCGTCACTTTTTTGAGTGACAAACATTTGATAAAAGTGAAAAATGACACTTAACTTAAAAAGTGATATCGTGTCAGTTTTTTATGTAAAAAAGTGACATTGTATCATTTTTTTTTAAATTTTACATAGTATTTTTTACTTTCAAAATACTTTTCACATAATTTTTCAAAAAAGCCATAATTAGGGGAATTTTTATAAGTTGCCCTTTTATTTATGAGCCAATAATGCGTAGTTTAACACTTAGGTATTTATTTTATTTTTATACTTATGTGTACTTAATTCTTGCATATCTTGATTATTTATGGTTAGAATAATATGCAATTTTAGGATGAATTAAGTTATGAAAAGTTGCAATTATGCTTGCATGAGTCCATTATGCGTTAATTTAATTTCTACAATTTATAAAGCTTATGAAAATGTTTTGTGCATAATCATAAAATGTTAGTTAAGATTGTGCTATTAGACTCATTCTCATATTGAGTTAATCATTTGTGCATAAAATAATTAATGTCTAGTGATCTATATAGTTTTATTTAATTGGAGATTAGCCACGTCATCTTTAATTAAATAAAATTATTATTAAGTTTAGGATCATAAAGAGTAAAGACGTTAGATTGTAATTAATTATACTTAATATGATAAATTTCATCTCATCCAACAAGAACTTTTATTATATTTATATTAATTAGAATAAATTATCAAATTACCTCATAATTTGCCCATATAAGTTATGAATAAGTATATAATTTGATAGTTTTATTATAATGTTTACTTTATGATAGAATATCAATTTTTTCCCTAATTAACTTAAATATAAATTAAGTACATAATTTGATAATCCTATCATAAGGAATAATTGAATATACTTGAATTAAAAATCTAGTCCAAATGCAATTTTTATGTTATTATATTCAATTTTAACATGACTTACATTGATAAAACATGCAATTTATTTAAATAAGCCTCAATTTTAACATAAGCATTTTAATATTATGTAGCTTCACAATCTGCTAATGTTTTTTATATTCGTTGCAATATTCTTGAATCAAAGGGCCATAATTACAAAGTATGGAATGAGAGAATTCTTGCTCATTTAGGGTGGATGGATATTGATTATGCTATTAGGAAAGATGAACCACATGAATTTACCTATGCCAGCACTGTAGCAGAGATCGCGCTTTATGAGCAACGAGAGTGATCTAATCGCCTCAACGTGATGTTCATTTAGACTAAAATTTCTACTGGTATATGTGGTTTCATCGATCAGCATCACAAGGTCTAGGACTTGATAAAGGCCATTAATAATCAGTATGTCACTTTAGATAATGCATTAGCAAGCACCATTATAGTGAAGTTCTCATTCTTAAAACTCACCAGTGAAAGGTGCGTGCGAGCACATCATGTAGATGAGAGACATTAATGCTCAACTTAAGAAACTTGAAGTTGAGATGTATGAATCATTCACTATGCACTACATCTTGAATACTTTCTCGCAATAGTACGGGCCTTTCAAAATCTCATACAATACACATAAGGATAAAGGTCAATAAATAAATTGTTGACTATATGTGTTCAAGAGGAAAAGAGAATGGTGATGGAGCAAGGTGAAAGTGTATTGCTGACTACAACCCATTGAAAGATAAAAACTTAAGCTAATCAAAAGGGGAAAGGTAAAATACCACCC